TTAGATTCCATGTTCAACTGCGTTTCAAACGGAATGCTTTATATGGATCAAATAGCCAAGGTTATTTGGAATCTCAAACAACGAAGAGTTTTGAATCAGAAAGCTTATGATGTAAGAGATCGAAAGATCCTTAACTCCATTTCAGTCAGAAAATATTTTTTTCAGGAATTCGTCAACTCAGAAGAAGCAGCGACCGCAGTCTCAAAGTTCGATGGTCTGTATATCTCAGGTGACGAACGGGATATTTGGTACAATATTATGGCAAACAGACTTCAGGTATGGATAATTCAAAATAAAGAGGATTTACAAAACAAAATGATTAATTTTAGTGTGAAATCAATCGTGCGCTTATACATAGAAACGCCAAGAAGGAGAACGTGCAAGGCTACTACATACTCCAGGAAGTGGAGTTGGCTCCAGAGCAAACCACGATTGACAATGAGGTAAAAACACTTAACTAAATCGAGTAGCAAATCCCAGTTAGCAATTTTTACAGGAGCCCGGAATCGAAAACCTCAAACAGTAATGAAGACGCGAATATCAATAGGATATAGTATTATATAGAGATATAAACCAAAGCCGGTACTTATTTAGTCATAATGCTAATTAGAAGCATTTTGATAGATATTTAACAATTGCTCAATAAGAAAAACTTGGAAAGCATTGTTCTTTACTATCTTCTGTTGAAGAGAAAGAATAAACTTTTGTATGGATGGTGTGGTGTGAACAACCCAAATTCAACTGCAGAAAGATTTTAAAACAAGGAAAACAAAGAGTAACAAAAATTCAGCGAATTCGAGAGGTGATCTGTCGTAACATTGATAGTGTCTACGTGATTACACATTGCGATCGTACAGTAGGGCGAAATTTGTCGTCATGTTTTTTACAGTTTTAATATCTCGTGTTTATCGACTACTCTAGTGGAAGCGACAATATTTATTTTCGATCGCAAGTAGGGACATGTAGCAATACTTATCAGTGATTTTGATACGCATCTCATCAGCTTTTCTTCAC